GGAACCAAGTCACTCCCAAAGCGACCGTGGGCCCCATCGCCCTAGAAGGACAGTCACTAAGTGGCCCTTTGTCAACCTGAAGAGGTTTGTGTTTTGTTCTGACCTGAGCTGTGATTTCCTCCTGTTTTATTCTGCTGCACCATCTAGTGAAGCATCATGGGCATCGATCACGCACCCGGTCAACTCTGAGATCACGATGACACATCAACGGGAAAGGAAATTATATCATGGACATTTTACCTGTCGCAATCCTAGATATAGAACTTCTTTTTCTCTTTAGTTGGGCAACAGTTTCCTCTGACTGCTGATGTTCATATGACCTTGGTTTTCCATGCTCAGAGTGGAGCAGATTTTAGATTATGTGTAACTCTTTATAGGCAATGTTACTACATCTATTCCAGTTGTGATGTCAGCCTAGCTCTGACTTCGACTCTTACTGAACCCCCACTCCCTCCACCAGCCTGGAGTCCTGTAATGTGTTGGTCAGAGCACTTGCCTCACAAGTGATAGACCTGTGTTTGATTCCAGGGCTGGGCGAAACATTGGGCAAGTTTTCTAACTCCACACACACGCCTCTGTTTACCACCAGTAAGTAGGAACCTGGTTGTTAGTCGATTGGTGGATCACTTTTCTGGGGCTAACAAATAATCCCTTCAAAAAATAAATAATTATATTTTCGTTACTCAATCCGAGACTGTTTGTGGGACGCTGCTGTGTGCAATTGGCTGCCATGTTTCAACCACAAATGTACGATCAATTCACTTTACAGAATATTCTGTGCAGCGCTTTGAGACATCTAGAAGACATGAAAAGTGCTATATCAAATGCAAGGATTATTATTATTCTGTGCCAGTTTTCTCTGTGCTGAACAGAGAGAGAGAGCTCTGTGCTCTCCCGATCTGATGGTGTCAGTGTCTGACGGTGCCTAGAGCCAGCTTACTGGAAACCACAGAACATTTTGACAAGTACAGATGTGGTTTCAAGCACACCTTGACCTCTCAATACCTGAATGAACTCTGTACAGTACAGAGCTGAGTTGCAACAAAACATTGCCTGTATTTCTGTATTCTGGGTTTCCCAGTAAAACCACCAGAACACAACCATGACTTCTCTATCTCTGGATGTGTTGGTAGTTTGATATCATAGGGACATTTTTCTACTTAAAACTTTATTCTGTAATTTGTTTGATTTAGTTAACCTATTTTGCGGCTGGGATGAAGAGTGGTGGTGGGATGGTGCTGTCCCTTATTATTATTATTATTATTATTATTATTATATGCCGTGTCCACATGCAAGGTTTGAGACATTATTCATGCTTTGTTTTTAAGGCAGAGTTGAGGAAGCAGCTGGATGGCCTATGTATAGTTGTCCTTGTTCTACAATCTAAGATGATGCTCTAATGCATCGCTGGGGGGGGGGGGGGGGGGGGGAGGTCATTGCATTGTTGGAGGTGCCGTCCTTTGAATGAGTTGTTAAACCAAGGTCCTGTTCAGGTGGGCGTTAAACATTCCGTAGCATTATTCGAAAAGAGAAGGGAGTTTTTCTCTTCCGGTGTATTGGCAGACAATGCCCCAAATAAAATTGGTCACGCATTTCATGGCTGTTTGTGAGGGACAATGCTGTGCACAAATTGACTGCTGGGTTCACCTAAAAAATACACAGTGCTGGATACAATTAAGTACTTCTAAATATAATTATCATCATTCTTACACGTTTCAGTTGGTCAGTGCACTGTAGAAAAAAATGGGGTAAAAGGGCTTTGTGAATACCCTATGGGGTAGCCAGGGCCAATGAAACAGATGCTTATAGCATAGTGCTCAAGTTTATTTATAAGAGTCAATAAACATTCAATTATTAACATTTTTTTTAATTTTAAGTAACATTCTCTGTTCTTTTACTGCAAAAAAAAACTCTTCAAACTGAAGCACGGCATAAATAATTTATAAACTCACACATGTATCGGAATTAAATACACTTTTCTTTGTTTTGAAACAGTTTTTTAAGAAAAAAAGTGACTTTCTGTAAGTTACATTCAAGAATCCAACCTGCCTTCTGCTAGGAGCAGAGGTCCCTCTGAGTCTTATTGATTCGCCTGCAAAAAGCACTCAGTCACTACACTTCACAATGAATCCCGCAAAGCGTTCTGAGATGTCTTCCCGATGTGAAAGGTGCTATATCAAATTATCATTATATAAAATAAATTGGTCACTCAATCCATGACTGTTTGTGGGACGTCACTGTGCACAATTGGCTGCCGCACTTCACCCACAAAATATACAGTCATTTCGCTGACAGTATATTCTGTGAAGGGCTTTGAGACGTTTCAACGACATGATAAGGTGCTGTATCAAATGGAAGAATTATTATGATGATGATTATTATTGATTTGAGACTGGTATGAACAGACTTTATGCCAACAAAAGTGAACCTGGGTATGAAATGATGAACACTGCTTTCCCAGCCTGTGGGAGGCAGATCATATTAACAACACATTACATTTACACAGTGCTTTTCATGTCAGGAGGACGTCCCAAGAAGCTGTCAGGGATTTGGACAAATTCAAAGGAGGATGTGATTAGATTGGATTGGATAGCTGTCTGGCGGAGAACGGTTTGAGAGAGTGTGAGTCTACAAGTAGTGTAGGATTGTTCATTTTTGTATTTTTATGTCTTTAACATGTTGTTAAGCCAATTGGATTCCCTGCCCCCTCCCCACCCACTGATATCTTGTGTTTGCTAACATTCCCATACGGGAATCGGTTCACAAGGAAAGGTTTAAGTCTATAATAGGGGTGTCCACCCGCCCCACAACCCACAGCTAATAGAATGATGGATGTTTGGTGACGACAAAGCATTTGAGGCACCGAAATTCCATCTATTCTAAGCCTGTGGCACTGTTTTGCCTTAAAATATTAGGATTGTTGAGGATTGGTTGAAAGTTCTTAAATCAAGGCTTAATGTAATATAAACCAGATCCCGGATCGTGGCTGAACTGCCCGAGTATCAGTTATCAGAGACCATCCGCAATAAGTGAAACAAATCTCTGCTATAATCGGATCAGAAGAGTGTTGGCCTTTGGTTCTCTTTCGAAGCCAAGAGCAGAGATAGTTGCACTCACCTCCCACACGGGGGCAGCAGAAGGTCAGCCACATTGGCCATGAGCCGCCAGAGCTGTTCTCCCCCGATGTCGCCAATAGGAGGCGGCGCTGAGCTCCACAGTGGGACAAACATTCACACAGAAAAGGGGCAGAAGTCACAAATTGGGGGGAGGTCCATCCCGGGTCCAGATTCACCCATTAACTTCAATTTCTGTTTCACCGGCATCCAGACTTCGTCAAATTTCTTAAACGCAAATGCAGTCATAATTTTGAAGCCGTTTCCCCCCCACACACACACCCCCACACATCCTATACACTCACACACACATCCTATATACCCACACACCCTACAACACACACACACATCCTATATACTCACACACCCCACACACACCCTATATACTCACACACACATCCTATACACTCACACACACATCCTATATACCCACACACCCTACACACACACACATCCTATATACTCACACACACCCCACACACACCCTATATACTCACACTCACACATCCTATACACTCACACACACATCCTATATACCCACACACCCCACACACACACATCCCATATACCCACACACCCTACACACCCTATATATTCACACACACCCCACACACACCTTATATACTCACACTCGCACATCCTATATACCCACACACCCTACACACACATCTTATATACTCACACACCCCACACACACACCCTATATACTCACACACACCCTACACACACATCCTATATACTCACACACCCTACACATACACCCTGTATACTCACACACCCTATATACTCACACACACATCCTATACACTCACACACACATCCTATACACCCACACACCCTATACAAACACACATCCTATATACTCACACAACCCACACACACACCCTATATACTCACACACACATCCTATACACTCACACACACATCCTATACACCCACACACCCTATACACACACACATCCTATATACTCACACATCCCACACCCACACCCTATATACTCACACATCCCACACACACACCCTATATACTCACACCCCACACACACACCCTATATACTCACACACACCCCACACACACCCTATATACTCACACACACCCCACACACACACCCTGTATACTCTCAACAACAACAACAACAACAAGATTCCATTTATAAAGCGCCTTTCACGTCAGGAGGACGTCCCAAGGCGCTGCACAGTTGGGTCAGGACCCGAGCAGGGGGAAATGGTCACACACACCTTATACACACAACCTTCACACGCATACAACCCACACCCTACACACACTGTGAGTTTCTGTTTAGAAACTACGTGAAAAAACAGGTTCAAAGTCGAGGCAGAACTGAAGTCACTAATTCACCAAAAGCTTCTGAAACACGGGATGTATTGGCCGAACCCACCAGAGACACAGATAAATAGATAAATAGATTGGCTGAACAGCAAGACACACGACTGAGCCCCCCCACCCCCCCAGACACACTCACACAACACCCCCCCCACACACACATTCACCCCACACACACTCACACACATACACCCCCAAAGACATTCACACACCCCTCCTGCACAAACACACTACCACCCACACACCCCAACCCCACACACACCCCCTACACACATACATCACACACATCCCAACCCCACACACCCCCCCACACACACCCCCCCACACACACACACACCCACACAGACACACCCACACCACAGAAAATGTTTCCGACGATCCTAAATCCTGAGGGTGTCAGGAGCGTGAGAAACACGAGACCCTCTGGCCATGGAGAGAGAGAGAGAGATGCGGGATGGTAGGGGGGCAGCATTTTTAACATGCCCCCCCATCCTCTGGTCCCCCCCTCCCCCCCCCCACCCCAGCACCCCCCACTTGCTGTCCTAGTGTTGCAGTTGGGCGACGCCAAAGATATTATTCTTGTTGTGGTTGATGTCCACATGCTCCATGCTGGTGGAGGTGACATACAGGCTGGATTCCGCCCCCAGGTAAACCACTGCGACCTGGGAGAGGGACCTGGTCCAGTTGGTCGAGTTGTGATCGTCCTCACAGACCGAAGCGCTGGTCACCAGCAGCTCCGTCGCCTCATCGAACGGCGATGACTCATACAGCGTCAGCTTCAGCAGCACGTTCTTGCGGCACTGATCCCCACGGAAGGTCACCTGGAGATGGACCAGGTAGGTTCCCGCCACCGTCACATTGTACTGGGTGGTGGGAAGGCCTCTGTGGTACCACAGCAGCTTCTGCCCCTTGGTCTCCATCAAACCTCAGGGAAAAGCCACGGGAAAAGTCAGTACATAATAATAATCAGGAGTCCCAATAATAATATTAATAATAACAATAATGATAATAACCACATTAATATTAATAACAATAATATGGATAATAATAAGATTAATAATGATATTGACAATAATAATAATGAGAAATGGAGTCACTCGCACTCACACACCCCTTACGCGCACACACACACACCACACCCCCCACTCAGTGGTTGGAGCACTCATCTCACAAGCGAGAGGACTTGGGTTTGATTCCTGGGCAGGTGGGCAAGTTTGCTTACTCCAGACGCCTCTGATTACCCAGCCTATTATAATAATAATCCTTGCAATGGTTATAGCATCTTCTCACGTCATTTGAACGTCTCAAAGTGCTGCACAACAGATACTGTAAAGTGTAGTGACTGAGTGCATTGTGGGTAAAACACGGAAGTCAATTGCGCACAGCAGGGTTCCACAGATACATGCATGTGTGTGTACGTGCGTGTGTATACTCGTGTACGTGTGTGCACGCGCGCGCATGTGTGTTCATATATGTGTGTTTACGCATGTACATCTGTTTAAGTCCCTCCATTCCTTGGCACTCCTCTTTTTCTCCAAACTGCACTCTCCCCGCACCACTACCCGCTGCCTCCGCTCGACCGGCTCCGCGGCCTCCTGCTCATCCCCTGGACCCTGCGCCCCCGCCATCGGTGGCCGAGCTCTCAGCCACTACGCCCCGAAGCCGTGGAACTCTCTCCGTCAGCCCCTTGGCCTCGCCCCCCTCGGGTCTGAAATGCTGTCACTGTCCAGTGCCTTGGGACGTCCGCCTGACGTGAAAGGCGCTATACACATGTAATCTTGTTGTTGTGTGTGTAAGTTTGTGTATGTGTGTGTCTGTAAACATTTAAAAATTCTGTCTGACCTCAGAGTTTGTGTGTGTTTACAATGCACTTGAGGGATTGGTGTTTCCCCCAATTTACCATCAGCCGTCAGGCCTGGCAATGCGGGAATCCAGGTCAGTGCTGTTCAGCAAATAGACCCGAGTGAAATGCACAAGGTGAGCTTCAACCAGACTCACTACTTACAAGAAAGAGCTCACTTTAGTGGGTATTGAGAGGAAATCGTTGTGCTCTTTTACAAGAAATATAAAGGAAATCTACTGTACTTGTGACTCCTGTGCTTTGAAATCATGTGGTTGATTTGAAAAGGTGACGGCAAGCTCACAGCGTTACCACGGAGTTGTTACAAACACCTCCGGCGACTTGCCATGACTTTGAGCTCACATTCTGTGCTGAAGCTCCAGCGCTGGGGTGGGGAGAGGTGGGGAGGGGGAGATTGTCGGAGGAGGCTCCTTTCTTTGGTTGAGACATTAAACTGAGGTCCTGTCTGTGCCCATTTCAGGAGGATGTTAAAGTTCCCTTGCGGGTCTATTCAAAAAGAAACAGTTTCTCTCCCGGAGTTCTGGCTGTCAATCACCTCCCCACCCCCCCTTCCCCCGATATAATCGGTCACTCACATCATGGCTGTTAGTGGGATGTTGCTGTGTGCAAATTGACTGCCACATTCGCTTACAAATAAGCAGTCACTACACTTTACAGTAAAATTTTATGAAGCACTTTGATTAGACTGTAACATTAAGGCACTGAGGTTCACTGGCTTTGTTATCGAGCTATTTCTGAATAGGCTTATTAACCGTCCCAGTTGCACCAATGATTATGGGCTTTTGAATTCACCGTTAGTCACTAGTTGTAGCTTTGGTTTACACCTAAGCCTTGTTCTTGTTGTCATTTCTTTTGCAAATTGACCGGGAAGTGTATTCTTCTCCCATTTTTTTTGGTACAAAAATCATTTTCTTTTTAAGGAAAATTTTCATTCCATGTGCTGTTTTTATTGGTTCAGAATGAGCTACTTTATGATATTATTATCATTATCATTGTTATTATTATCATTGTTATCAATGTTATGATTACGGCATTTAACACAGAATTACATCGATTATACAACCCAGGAATAGGTCAGTTTTGGTGTAACTAGTCCGTGCCGGTGTTTCTATTTTACAAACAGGTAAACTCCACTCCTCCTATTCCTCCTCTCCTATTAACCCTGTGTTCTCGTCGCTGGCTCCCCTTAATGAGCGAGTTATTTAAAATACTGAAATAAAACGTAATGACAGATTTGCAGTGGGGTGATTTTCCCACAGTGTGGCAGTGCTGGGCAAAGTAGAACTGAGTAACATTTCACCCCAGTCAGAGTGTGAGTGCTTCTCAGCTGTGGTCTTACCTTGGAAGAATTCATGTCTTGTGGGTACTTCAGGTCTTATTGGTGTGACTGTTCCTGTGCTTGACGCTGTACAGGAGAAAAGACAGAGACATTAACACAATTCTTTATTGAATCAGTATAACATGGAGTTGCATTTACACAGGGGCAGAAAGGCTGAAAGTCCGGCTGCCGGTGGTGGGGTGGGGGCACAGGGAGGGGGATATGGAGCAAGCAGGAGCGCGCTGAGCGGAGGGAGCGGACAGGTCGATATGGAGTTAACAGGTCACAGAGATAGGACGGAGCAAGGCATGTTTAAGCTCCACACTTCCTATCCCCCTCTCCTATAACACCTCTATCCCCTTCTCTGGCTTGAGTTAATAAGCGAGTTATTTATAACACTGAAATAAAACATAGTGACAGATTTACAGGGGGTGATGTTCCCACTGTGTGGCAGCGCTGGGCAAACAACAACAACAAAATTACCTGTGTAAAGTACCATTCACGTTGGGAGAATGTCCCAAGGTGCTGGACAGTCAGTGTTTCTGACCCGAACTGGGGATCAGGATTGGGGAGGGTGGAGGTCAGGGGGGAAGGAGGTGATCGAAGGCACGGTCGAAAAGGAGGGTCTTTGAGATGGGTTTGAAGGAAGCAAGGGAGGGGACAAGGCGGAGGGACAGATGGAATTCCAGAGGGTGGGGGCAGAGTGGCTGAAGGCTCGCCTGCCAATAGTGGGGCGAGCAAGGTGAGGGATATGAAGCAGCCTGGAGCCCACTGAGCGAAGAGAGCGAGCAGGATGGTAGGAGATTAGGAGGTCGCAGAGGTAGAGGAGAGCAAGACCATAGAGGGCTTTGAAGGTGAGGACCAGGATCTTGAACTTTATCCTCTAGTGTGATGGGAAGCTAGTGGAGCAAAGTGTAGAACTGAGTGACATTTCATCCCAGTCAGAGTGTGAGTGCTTCTCAGCTGTGGTTTTACCTTGGAAGAATTCATGTCTTGTGGGTAGTTCAGGTCTTGTTGTTGTGACTGTTCCTATGATTGTTCCTGTGCTTGACACTGCACAAGAGAAAAGACAGAGAAATTAACATAACATTTTATTGATATAATATAACATGGATCTGCATTTACACAGCGTCTTTCACATCAGAAGGATGTCCCAAGGCGCGAGCGGGTGGGGGCAGGGGAAAGATCACCAAAAGCGCAGTCAAAGACGTAGTTCTTGAGATGGACATTGAATGAGCAATGTCCCATGAACAGCTATGAAGTTAATGACCAATTATTCTGGACGGGCCACCAGAGGAAACTCTGTGCCGAAGAATCATTAATGTCCACCTGAATGAGCCTCGGGTTTAACATCCCAGTTCACCTCCCAATTCATCTGTGGCCATGGTGAACAGATGTGCTGACTAGGCACTAATGCCAACCTGTGGCCAGAAGTGGCCCCTGGGGCTGTCCTGAGGCAGCCCCCCCCATCCCAACATTCGTACAAGTCTAGTTAAGTCCGTGTTCCATCAGTTGTGTTGTTTCACATTTTTCTTGATTGAATATTTCTTGATTTAAGGCTGAACAGAGTTTTTACCAGTTTCCTCCCCAGCATGAGTGCCAAAGGCCCTGGTGGTTGGCAGCAAAGAACATCAGCTTCCAAGTTTGCCAGAGCTCGTTGTGCAATGAAATGGCAATGAAATTCCTTCAAATCACAGTGAAACGCTTATTCACAACAAGTTCCCATTATAATGGCACAGCAGCGGCTCTCGTAAACAGTCTTTGAAACAGAGCGAAGGTTTTCGGCCTGAGTGACTGTTTCCCAGTCAGTGTGAAGGTGTTTCCCTGTGCCCAGGGCTGAGTGCCAGGGGTCGGTGCCCTCTGCAGATCTCAGGAAAACTGGATCTGTGGAATCAGCCATCACAATAAGTGATCTCTGGGCTGATGTGGAGGGTATTATCGATCCTGAGCACCGCCTTATCCAGTCCAGTATTTCCTTCTTTCCGAGTAGCGTCTCTATTGATACGATAAACTCAGGATTCTCAGCAGAAGTAAAATATGGGTCAGAAGGGATTCTTCATTTGGAAGGTGGTTAGGACCCGGGTTCCCATCCGTGTGCGTGAGCAACAGCCCAATCGTTTGGTCTGGATATCTCTGAATCAGGGCGTTGGGCATTGGACGTCTGCGTGTCTGTTGATCAATAACTGGATGCTTCCTCTCACTTCACATAATGGCCTGGTTTTCCAACTGCTTTAAATTATATCCAGTTGGGCTTCTGAAGAACGGCAGAGTGGAGTCCATTTGACCACATTGTGCCACGTCAGGTTCTGGAGATTTGGTTATTAGAATCTCTTTCCTCGTGTGAATTAACACCATAAACCAACCCAAACTCTACCCCCAAAACTGTAGAGAATTTTAGAAAATTATTAAGTTGTGTTAAGAAGTGCAGAGCGCCAAATTAAGGTTCATTAAAAAAGACTGAAGACCCTGCTTAAGGCTGTGACCTTGTGTTAGTTTGGGGGGTGTCAGGGGTGCGGGCGCATAATAATAACAATAATAATCCTTGCATCTGATACAGCGCCTTATCACATTGTTGAGACATCTCAAAGCGCTTCACAGGATACACTATAAAGTGAAGTATATTTTGTGGGAGAAACGCAGCAGCCAATTGCACGCAGCAGTGCCCCATAAACACTCAGCATTTGGCTGTTTGTGAACTCTGTGCAGGCTGCAGTTGTTAACAGCGATAACTTGCGCGTTCTTCCTTAATGCAACTTGCGCAATCGGTTTTCGACAGCGTCAAAGATCCAGGGATTAAAAACATGTGGTTTAACAGGAATCCCTACCTGGAGCTGTTTGACTGCAGTGTTGTTGCTGCGGAGACAAAGACACATTAGACACAATTAATGGGTGAAATAATAACAAGCAAATTGACAAACGATCATTTAAACAGGAGCTGTGACAAATTACATTTGCTTTGAATAATAATGATAATCATCATTAAACATGCAAATACAGCGCGTTTCGCGTCAGGAGGATGTCCCAAAGTGCTTCAGAAGATTTTACTGTACAGTGTAGTGAGTGTGACTTTGAAGGCAAACACAGCAGTTTGTGCACAACAACATCCCAGGAACAGCCATGAAGTACTCAAACAGTACCACGGGATCTTTAACGTCCAGCTGAACAGGCAGACGGGACCTCGGTTTAATGTCTCATCCGAAGGACATTTCAGCGCTCCCTCCAGCATTATATAGAGTGTCAGACTAGACTATGAGCTCAAAGTCCTGACGTGGGGCTTGAACCCGCAACCTTCTCTTTCTAAGATGAGTGTTACTGACCAAGCTGGGCATATGCACTGAAATAAACATGTTTGAGAACCTGAAGTTAACAGCAGTTTATCAGGTAATGGGTCACTGCCAACGGCATTTGGATAATAATAAGTTTTACATTTGATGCAATAGCATGGAAACCTCTTTTCAAAGGTTTACACAGGGAAATTCTGTCAGGAATAGTGACTGTAAGACCGAGTGGCGCCCTCTACTGGGCACAGTGCCCAACAAGCTCAGAGGGTCCCGTTGTTAGAATGAAGCTGCATCACAATTGGATCAGCCCATCGAGGAGAAACTCTCATCTATTTAAAAAGTACCACAGGATCTTTAACATCTGCCACAGACCAGACCTCAGTTTAATGTCTCATCCAAAGGGCGGCATCTCAGACATCACAGCGTTCTCTCCCAACAGTCCCCCCCCCACACACACACACTCTGTGGGGCTTGAACCCACAATCTTCCTGCTAACCAGCTGAGCCAGCCTGTAACAATGGTGCAGAATCACAAGTGACCACTGAGATGGTTGGACTAATCCATACAGAATTAATTGCTATCAACATCTATTATTGTAGCCTGTGGCTACCAGGAAGGTAGGAGATGGACTAGATGGACCTTGAAGGTCTTTCGTCCAGAAATCCCTATGTCCCCATCACAAGATTGAGCAGCTTGAGATTCACATTACACTGTTACAATCAATTTCAGAGCGGCCACAGTTTCAGTTCAAGACTGTGAAAAGGGAAGACAGTTTTGAGATACCTTTCCACATGAGTCGTATGAGTGCCGCTAGCTTACTTTAATTTACCTGCATTTTTTTTCCACTGCTTTTTCTCCATTTAAAGCCAATAGGATTTCCACCTCCAGTGGGGAACACACACACATACACACACACACACACACAGTGCTCCGTCCTCTCCTGAAGCTTCTCAGCACATGAGGCGTTCGTGTTCGTTCAGAAGTGAACTGTCATTATACAAATGTAAGTTTATTTGCATAACGTCACTTTTCTGCATCAGCTTTTTTTTGTTTTTTGATTTGAATTAATCGTCCAAATGCCACTGTATGCAAATGATACAGCATTCACAAGCCATCTCGCATTCGTACAGTCTATTGTGTTGTGTGTTGCGGGGGAGGTGTCTAATCTTAAACTTGTTACTCGTAAGTTGAGTTATTACTTGAGTTTTTGGGGGATTCGTTTTTTGCCTTTTTTTCACTAGAAACAGAGACAATGTCATACTTGGTTGTGGGAACTGAATTGATTGCAAACAACATCTCCGTGATAGAAACGGTCACTGATTATCGGCTGTTTGTGGGTCGAGGTCAGGGTACTCACCCTCGTTCGCCTACAAACACAAAACTCGCACAGTTGCTGGCATTTTTCCACGTGAAGCGCTTTGAGTGGCTGATATGATCGGTGATGTACGAAATAATGCAAGGCTTATCCGTTATAAAAAAGCAAACAGTACGTAACGTAACAACAGTACTTACTGTTCTGAAAAGGACAATAGTTCCAATGGACACGGCGGTGGAGAGGAGAGTAAGAAATAAGCAGGCTACGTTTATGAATTTGGTGTTTCTGTGTTCAGATCTCCTGTCCAGTGTTCTACCCTCAGGATAATTCACTTCCGTTAAGGAGCTCATTTTCCCCCTGTTCACAGCTGTCAGTGCCGGGGTGTTTGGTTTATATAGGGTCACCTACACACTAATCTTATCAAATCATCTGTACAAACGTAATTTTTTTTAAAAAAGCCATGCAGGNTTTTTCCCTCCCTCCCTTTCTGATCTCACTATAAATGCCACTGGAAAATTAGAATCATCTGTAAAAGGTGTGAGGTGCTGCGTGTGGGTTGATGAGAAAGAAGGAGAGAGAAGAGTTTACTGGTTAGGGATTTCTACAGGGCAGTCCTGTTAGCCTCAACTTGTGACATCACTGGAGGAATGATGGGGGAGGAAAGGCTTCGAAGCTTTGCAGGATTTCATTTTCACTGGTGGCTGGTTCAGTTTCACTGGTGTTCACTCTCAAGCCCGTTTATCTTTGAACGCAATCACGGTCACACAATAATCAACACAGGATGTGTGGCTTCACTGTAATAGACTCACCTGCATCGATCTCTCTTTCTTTCACTCTCTCTCTGGAATTGTGGTCTTGTAGCGTATTTGTTAGAGCACTCTCCTTGCAAGCGAGAGGTCCTGGGTTGAATTTCTGGGTAGGGTGAAACCTTAAGCTAGTGTCCTTACTGCACATTACTCTGTTTACCTGGATAGGAACGTGGTTGTTAGTTGATTGGTGGATCGCGCTTCTGGGGGTAATAATCCCTTAAAAATAATAATAATTATTTGATCACTCACTCCATAACTGTTTGTGGGTTACTGCTGTGCACAATTGGCTACCATGTTTTGTCCACAAAATATACAGTCAATTCACTTTGGTCCGCAAGTTGGCCACAAGTAAAATCTGCCTTTAACATCAGTGCCACCATCTCGCTGGTGAATCTGTGTCACTCTCTCCTCTATCTAGTGATTTGACCCTAAACTGGTGTCTAGCACATTGACTGGAACCATCAACTCTAACCCCAAAGACCATGTTCTTTCCCTGTACTGTACTGTATTGATGTAAGCTTCAATAGCACTCTCGCTTCTGAGTCAGAAGGTTGTGGGTTCTTATCCCAGAGCTTGGGCACTCTGAGCTCACAGTCTAGAGTGATGCTCCAATGCAATACTAGGTGTGTGTGTCCTGAGTAACTGCTTGTTCGGGTGGATGTTGAAGATCCCAGTGTGGGATATTGTTAAAGGTTTTGTCATTTAGGCTTTTGTTTTGCGAAAATTTAATTTTCTGTACTGAGAATCGCTTTGTACAAATTCTGGCTGTTCTGGAACCCTAAATGATAATAATAATTCTTGTATTTGACATAGCGCCTTAACCCATCGTTGAGACTTCTCAAAGTGTTTCACAGAATATACTGTAAAGTAATAAATAATAATCCTTTCATTTGATATGTAGAGCCTTATCACATCTTCGAGGCATCTCAAATTACTTCACAGAATATACTGTGAAATGAATTGATTATATTTTGTGGGCAAAACATGGCAGCCAGCAGTGTCCCACAAACAGTCGTGGTTTGTGTGACTAAATTATTATTATTGATTATTACCCCCATAAAAGTGATCCTGCAATCAGTTAACAACCGGGTTCCTATTTCCTGTGAGGTAAACAGAGGTGTGTGGAGTAGGGAAACTTGCCTAAGGTTTTGCCGTGTCCCTCCCGGGAATCAAACCCAGGTCCTCTCGCTTGTGAGGCGAGTGCTCTAACCACTGAGCTACAAGAATCTACAAATCCATGTGATAGGTACAGGTTCCCAAATCTATTTGTTTGTTGTTTGGTGGTGGGGGTGGTGGTGGAACGACGGGGGTAGTTAGAATTTTGGGTCAATTTCGTCACTGTTTCAAACTCAGCAGTTTTTGCTCTTGGTTGCAATTCATAAAGAAACTGTGCAGAAAAGAGGAAGCGGTGAATAAGAACAAACACCCACCCCCCACACACCCCCCCCCCCCCACACACACACACAAACACCCCCCCACACACACACACTCCCCCCACACACACACACACAAACACCCCTCCCACACACACATTCCCCCCACACACACACCCCCCCACACACCCCCACACATACAAACACACGTACAAACACACACATGCTGCACAAGTTAATAAACTTAAGATCCCCATCTAACTGAAAGTAGTACAGTACTTTCAAATATTGAACCGCTTGATTGCCTTCCCGTTAACTGAAGACACTGCAGAATGTGTTTGTCACTGTAAACCACGGCGATCGAAGCAGACAGAGATAATAATAATAATAATAATCCTTGCATCGATATAGCACCTTATCACGTCTTCGAGACGTTTCAAAGCATTTCACAGAATACGCCGTAGAGTGAATGGACTGCATAGTTTGCGGGAAAAACGCAGCAGCTAATTGCACACAGCCGTGTCCCTCAAACAGTCATGGATTGAGTGACCAAATTATTATTATTTTTTTGAGGGTATTATTACCCCCAGAAAAGCGATCCATCCACCATTCAACTAACAACCGGGTTCCTACTTACTGGTAGGTAAAGGGAGGCGTGTGGAGTAAAAAACTTGCCTAAAGTTCTGTGTGAGTGAATGTGTGTGTGAGTGAGGGTTTGCGCGTGTGTGAGAGTGTGTGTGTGTCCGTGTGTGAGTGTATGTGTGTGAATGAGAACCTGCCTTGGTGTCAGACTGGTCCAAGTTTAATGTGATAATCATCAGTTGAACAGACGCACAGCCCATGCTCTGCTGCTTTGTGTTGAAGAATTAATCTTTTGTCAGCTTCACTTATCCAGTTGCTCCCGGTGTCCTGCCTGGTCGACAATTCTATATAAATGCAAATTGTAACGGAAACACAGCAGCCAATTTCTGCACAGCAATGTCCCACAAACAGCTTTTTTTATGGGGGGGGGGGGGATACTAGAAGAAATTCCTATTTTTTTCGAATAACACACTAGATCTTTAAAGTCAACATTAGGTTCCAAAAGAGAAGGGAATTTCTCTCTCCTGGTGTGTCCTAGCTGACAATTTCCCGAATAAAGTCAATCTTTCACATTGTGGCTGTTTGTGGGATGTTGCTTTGTGCAAATTGGTGGCTACATTCACCCACAAAATAGTCACAGCATATAATTATGATAATAATAATAATATTAATAATAGTATCCTGTGAATCCTCCCCAAGTGAAAGGTTATTTTGCCAAACATTAGGATTGTTATTATTATTATTATTTTATTAGTTTCTTTTTGAAACATTTGTAACAATGCAATGTTGCCAGACCGGAATTGTGCTGAAAAAATATATTTGTTTAAAATGCCTTTATTGAAACCAAAAACAACAATTAAATACACAGAGCAGTGGCAGACTGGAGAGTAGGTATTCCTATTGTTATAGGAATAACAATAATGCTATTGTTCAGCATCATGACACCTTCCTCCCTCTCCAACCTGCTCACTCCCCAACCCGCTACCCGGTGCCTCCGCTCTGGCCTCCTGCTTGTCCCTTCGGCAGCGCCTTTAGCCATTATGCCCCAAAACTCTGGAATACTCTTCCTCTATCCCCCTCCCTCCCCATCTTCAGGTTGCGCCTGAAGACCTTCCTCTTCGACGGTGCCTACGGTCACCTCCCCCTCCCCGTTTCAGCGTCGTGCTCCGCTACTGTGAAGCGCTCTGGGACGCTATCTTGCGTGAGGGGCGCTCTGTAAATGCAAGTTGTTGTTGTTGTTTAGACTCATTGCCTGATGATGACTGCTGTAAAGATTTTTTGTCAATTGCACAGTATGGCTTCGGACACCAGTTTTTTTCGGTGGCTATTGACAGCCATAGCTTTGGTGTATCAAAAAAGTGCTTTTAATTATGTTCTTGTCTGACGAGATTCTCCCTTAAGATACAGGGAGACTTGAATCATATGCAAGCAGTTAAGTTCAGTTGAATTCTAAGAATTCTGCTCTCAGTTTGTGGTGACATCCTGTCAAATCATACAAGATGCAAACCAACGCGAATACCAGCTCTGACCCTCAGGCAGCTGTTCTCGCCTGATCTGCTTCAAGCTTCGGCTTCAAATTCCAAAACCTGACCACGGGATTGGGGCCCATGGCACTGGTGTCCTGGAGCTCAGTGGTAAGAGTGCTCGCCTCGTAAACGAGAGGACCTGGGTTCAAAACCTAAGGCAAGTTTCCTTACTCCACACACCTCTGTTTACCAGCAGTAACCCGGTTGTTAGTCAATTGGCGGAACTCTTTTCCGGGGGTAATAATCCGTCCAAAAAAAAAATAATTGTCACTCAATCCACGACTGTTGGTAGGACACTTGCCTGCCACGTTTTGTCCACAAAATACACAGTCACTACACTTTACAATGTACTCTGTGAAGCAATTGAAAATGTCTCAACGACGTGATAAGGCGCTATATCAAATGCAAGGTTTTTTTTTATATAGCACCCTTCACTTAAGATATCATCACAGAGAGCTTTATACAATACAGTTCAAAATTACATTTGTACAGCACCTTTCATGTCAGGAGGACATCCCAAGTTGTGGAACAGTCAAGGATTAGGACCCAAGCGGGCGGGCAGGTGAGGGTGATGGGATCAGGGAGGGTGGAGGGCAGAGAGGATAGGAGGCATGGTCTTGAGGCATGTCTTGAAGGAGGCAACGGATGGAACAAAGCAAAGAGAATATGGGATGACGTTCCAGAGGGTGGGGGCAGAGAGGCTAAAGGCCCAACCACCAAAGATGGGGCAGACCAGGCTGGGGACATGGAGCAGGCCGGAACCTGCTGAGCGGAGGAGCGGACAGGTTGATAAGGGGTTAGTAGGTCGGAGAGGTAGGAGGAAGGCAAGGCTATGGAGGGCCTTGAAGTTGAGGACGAGAATTTTGAACTCGATCCTCTGAGGGATCGGGTACCAGTGGAGCCTGGTATGGGTGGGGGTGATGGGGTTACGGAGCCTGATGTGGGAGAGGACAGGAGTTGCAGAATTCTGGATGATCTGCAGGTTGTGGAGAGGAAAGTCAGGGAGGCCAACAAGCAGGGCATTGGCATAGTCAAACCTGGTTGTAATGAAGGTGTGTATGAGCGGT